AACAAGTGGGAAATAATTGTTTCCTAGTACTTGACTGTTAGATCATTCCACTAGCATTACTTCTAAATATAACAAGTGGGAAATAATTGTTTCTTTGTACCTGACTGTTAGATAATTCCACTAGCATTACTTCTGAATATAACAAGTGGGAAATAATTGTTTCCTAGTACTTGACTGTTAGATCACTCCACTAGCATTACATCTGAATATAACAATAGTGCGAAATTATTGTTTCCTAGTACTTGACTGTTAGATTACTCCACTAGCATTACTTCTGAATATAACAAGTGGGAAATAATTGTTTCCTAGTACTTGACTGTTAGATCATTCCACTAGTATTACTTCTAAATATAACAAGTGGGAAATAATTGTTTCTTTGTACCTGACTGTTAGATCACTCCACTAGCATTACTTCTGAATATAACAAGTGGGAAATAATTGTTTCCTAGTACTTGACTGTTAGATCATTCCACTAGCATTACTTCTGAATATAACAATAGCGGGAAATAATTGTTTCCTAGTACTTGACTGTTAGATCACTCCACTAGCATTACTTCTGAATATAACAATAGTGGGAAATAATTGTTTCCTAGTACTTGACTGTTAGATCACTCCACTAGCATTACTTCTGAATATAACAATAGTGGGAAATAATTGTTTCCTAGTACTTGACTGTTAGATCACTCCACTAGCATTACTTCTGGTAGAAGTGATAGTATAAATTAGTAGTTTACTGCATAAAGAAGAATGGTTTGATCACAACATTAACAATTTCATAACTTATAAATAATAATTCATTTTAATAGGAATAGTTTTGGAATATTTTATATAATTTTTTTCAGTTCCCATTAGCTTATTAAATAGACGTTATCAAAACATCATACAAAAAAACAAACCCTTTATATATCCAATACCTTTTAAGGCCTATACTGAGTTCTTAAAGAAGCACTTTAATGTATCTCAAAATTTCAGTCTTAGATATTCTTAAACCATGATACAGAATTCTCTAAGAATTACAACTATTATTTCTCTACTAACAAATACCTTTCCTTCTGCTTGTAGAGGATGACCAATTATACAGTTTCAAACATTATTTCAATGAGTGATAATGACTGGTTTAAAACCGAGTTGTTATTACTGTATAGATGCTCAAAACCACAACTAAAATATACTGTATATTACACTTCACTGTCATAAATATTTAGATATATTTCAAGAGTTCAAGAAAAGAAAACTCTTAATTAAGAGCATAAATATCTTTATCATTCCTTGCTAATAGAAAAACTAACATTACATAGTTTTTACATAAAGATTAAATTTCTTTCAACAAATTTTACATTGGGATTACCATCTCTTTCACCTAGTCTTACATTAACAGTAAAAGCTCTTTCACCTGGTTTTACATTGGGATTACCATCTCTTTTACCTAGTCCTACATTAATAGTAAAAGCTCTATCACCTGGTTTTACATTGGGATTACCATCTCTTTCACCTAGTCCTACATTAATAGTAGAAGCTCTTTAAACTAGTTTTACACAAAGAGTAGTGTATTTTTCACCTAGTTTTACATCGGGAAGAATGGCCTCTAGTTCCTTCTTAAACTGTTCCTTGCCTTTCTCAATGATGTCTTTGTATTCACTGACGACATTTGATTCTCCTAATGCTTTGGCCACCTGAGAAAGTAAATAAATCATTAAAATATTTAATTATGTGAACAACTGAAAACATCTGAGACTAACCTTTTTTTGTCATTTTGCTGGAAAAATTACAAATAAAATGTCAGTCTTACAAGTTTCCTTAAACTCAACATTCTCTTTTTAATGACTACTCTACAAACACAGAGCCAGCCTTAGGAGTGTGCAGGGCATGAGGCAAGTACTGTCATCACAGTACATCTTATACTAAACTTGAACAGGTACACTATGAATTTTATAAATAGAAAATGTCATCACAATACATCTTATACTAAACTTGGCTGGGTAGAATTCCAGTTTATAAAAGAAAAAGGTTATTCCAGTATGTCTTATACTAAGCTTAACTGGCTGAAGTACAGAATGTTAGTGACAATTAATCATTATAGTACTTTATGTGGTAAACTCTTGAAATGATAAATTGCATTTCTTAGAAACAATTATTGTTACAATAAGCCTAATATTAAACTTTGCTACAAAAATAAGATAACTGCACATTTTTTTCACATTCCTCTTAATTTGTCCACTGAAGCTTGGAATCATAAGAGTGTAAAAATAGAATTTTTTTTAGATCTATCTTTTGTCTCCCACAAAGCACTGCCTAATATGAGGAAGTAGTAGGAGATTCTCTTGGAACTTTAGATAACACAATTAACACAGGACTAAACTAGGAGATTCTCTCTGAACTGTAAATAACACAATTAACACAGGACTAAACTAGGAGATTCTCTT